GTGTTCTGTTTCCCGATCTGGGTGCTCATTATATCGGGGGAGTTTTGCTCTTGAAAATTCATCGAGCTATGTGTTTATGATCCATGCACTTTGCAGCATCTATGTTATAGTTCAATTAACATATCATAAAACATGTACACACACGTGCCAAAAACAAAGGCAGCCGATGGGCCACGGCGTTCGTGGTGGCCTCCCCTGGGTGGTGGGTTTATGGATCAATTTCGTTTTCTCACCATATGTTCCAAGTTCTCCACAATAAGCCTGGATTAACTTTATCGAATAATAAACACACGCGTGTCGTAAAAGAAGTGCTGGGAACGGAACCTTCCCTCCCTGACCCTTCCCTGTCCCCAAAGCTATTGTTATAAGAAAGAGGCGGGGACCCGAGCAGGGATTTGGCTGCCCTTAGAATTCTTTCCAAATAAATATTTTTAGTGCCGTTACGCACTCCCTGCAAACGTCCTACGGATGATCTGTGGCCCTGGTGATCTGAGCAGTCTTTCTGCGGAGTGATTTGTGTGGCACCAGCAGTCACCTCACCTGTGTCCTCTTCCGGGGGACGAGGGTAATAATAGGGCTGACCTCACGGGCGCTGGGCGGCCCCACTGGGCTGCCGCATGCAAACCCCCTGCACGGGGCTCCTGCGCAGGGGACCGACTGCGCCACTGCCTTCCCGATTAGGAAGCGCCCAGGGTGCGAGGCAGGCCCTGCCGGGGTCCTGCTTCAAAGGCCCAGCTTGTCGGGGAGAGTCCTGTACACAGCACGGCTCCCTGGTCCTCACGGCCATCCCTGGGGACAGGCAGGGGTGCTGGGGGCTTCCCTCCCTCGCATGTTTTCCCATGTAGCCTCCTTTTAACCCATCTTTCTCTACCTTCCTCACTTGTTGTGACTGTGCTCTGTCTCGTCGTGTGTGTTCGTGGCAGCTGCTGTCACAACTGTTTAGCGATCACAGGGAGACTTAGAGGAAGCTGCTGGCGGCGAGGTGGTGGCAGGGGCGGGGTGCTTTCTGCCCCCTTGGTCGGCTCACCCAGAGACCCCTCCCGGGCCCACACCTTTGGCCCGGTCTCTGCTCCCACCTGATCGTCCCAGGGCTTTGGAATCTGGACCGAGCCCTGTTTGGAACCTGGTCACCTTTGTAGGACAGTATCTATCCAAACTACAAATGCGGAAACTGTGTCCCAGCTGGTCCGCTGCCCGGCAGTAATCCTACAGATAAACTGGTGCTTGGGTAGACTTTATTTATACGCAAGGTTGTTTTTTGCAACATTATAAAAGTGACAGATTGAAAACCTCAACCCCCCTCTGTAGGGGCTGCTTCGATGAACGGCACAATCCTATCACTGAGTATACTGCTCAGTCTCGAAAATCTAGCGAGGAACCATCTCTAAGCTTTATTAGGTAAGAAAAGCAAGGTTCAGATAACTGTTTGCGTGAAAAAAAGGGAGGATGTGGGAATATGGGCTTGCATTGGCTTATGTTTGCATGGAGACCCTGCTACTCACTGAAGGACTAAACTTGCTTGTGGAGCTGGAGGTGAAACTTTGCGATTAGGGCCGTGGAGAGGGGAGGGGACACAGATTTGTTCGTTGCCTTTGAGGGGTGTGTGTCAGCATGCAAGTTTTCAAAATGCCAAGCTTAAAACATGCAGTGTCTTTAAAACAAAGCCTGTTTGAAACACGGCAGTGTGGGCGTGCCTGTCACGCTGGGTCTTGCTTCAGCCTCTCAGCTGCGTGACCTTGGGTGAGTTGCTCAACCTCTCTGCTTCGGTTTCTCCATCCATGGAATAGAAGTAAGAACAGCTCTGACCTTGGGCAACTTGGATGATTAAATGAGGTAAACTGTGCCCACAGGCAAGCCACCAGGGTGAACTGGTGGTGGCAGTGGGCCTCCTAAAGGCACCGTAGTTTGGAACAGCCTGGTGGTGGCAGGCTGGGGGCCCTCGCCTGTCCACCTGCCGTCTGTGTCCTCCCTGTGCTGTGGAGGCCCTGGCGTGGTGGGAGCGGTTCATTAAACCACAGTGGGCTCGGGGGCTCTCCTCCGCTCCCCCCTCCCCTTGCTCAGCGCAGACAATACGGGGAGACCTCACAGTCTGGAGTCCTGGGTGTTCCCCGGGTGGGAGCCAGGGGTGAGGGGGTGCGTTAAAGTACACAAGCCTCATTTAAACTGCCGGAGCTAAGTACGAGGACACAAAGGCCAGGTCCCCCTTGCAGCCCGCTCCTGTCCCGCCTGACCCTCTGGCTCCACTTCCTAGAAACCCCAAATCTGAGCAGCCCAGAGTGTAGTCCCTGCACCACACCCAGCCCCCGCGCTACACCAATGACATCCGCAGGCAGGGGCACCCCCTGCCCAAAGTCAAGCATCCAATGAAAGTCATGCCAGACCACAGCACCCAGCTCAGAGCCCGTCTCACCCCCTGCCCAGCAAGGGCTTCTTCTAGAAGCTTCTACGCACCATGGCTTTAGGGGCTGGTTTCACTGAATAAACAGCCTCTGTGCCTCATTTTGTTCACCTGTGAAACGGGGCAGTAACCCTCCTGCCTGTTTCTCATGAGGACAAGGTAAGGCTTGCAGTCACTTGGAGGGAGCAGAGACCAGGGACCCGTGATCTCGTTTGTGCATCTCCCTTTACCCAGCGGAGACATTTCTGAGCTACAAGTCCACGTCGATTCTGTAGTGTGATTGTCCTTTGAGAGGAGGCAGACCAGAGTAGGAGCATCAAACACAGCCCCGGGCTCGGGTGCACTGGGATTCAGTTTTGTTTGAACTCATTTAGTTTCTGTTTAAGCCGCCACTCTGCCAGCCTGGCGGACAACCTTAGCCTCGGTTCTTTAGGGCTGACCCGTCTCATGGAGCTGACTCTGTGGGCGCTGGCCCGACAAGAACAGGTGATGCTGGGCCAGCGGGGTGGGGCCCCCTGAGACCTGGAGGTTTGGGGCTGCTTGGGACAGGGTCTCGTAGCAGGATCATCCATTTTCCCTCTTGAGTTCTCTCTGACACCCCCTTGGGTGTCCTCTTCCTCCCACTCTTCCTCCTCCTCAGTGTCATCTCTTTGCTATTGCTTCCAGCATGTTCCTGACCCGAGTATGGTGCCCCAGCTTCAATTCCCTGAGGCCGCTAAGGGCTAGTGCAGGGGTTGGCAAACTTCCTATAAAGCACGGGACCGGCACTATCTCAGGCTTTGCAGGCTGCGTGATCTCTGTCTCAGTGACTCACCTGAGGCAGGCCAGACAGCCACGGACAATTCATACGTAAGTGCATGTGTCCCAGTAAAACTTTGTTTCCTTAGTTGTGCTGTTTTTGCAAATCATCAACAGAGTGAAAATGCAACCTCCGGAATGGGAGAAAATATCTGCAAACCGTATATCTAATACGGGATTAATATCCAAAGCATATAAAGAACTCCTACCATCTAATAGCAAAAACACAGAAGCCCCCCAAATGGGCGAAGGTGCTGAATAGACATTTCTCCAACAGGTACACACAGCAACCGGCCAACAGGTACACACAGCAACCGGCCAACCGGTACACACAGCAACCGGCCAACAGGTACACACAGCAACCGGCCAACAGGTACACACAGCAACCGGCCAACAGGTACACACAGCAACCGGCCAACAGGTACATACAGCAACCGGCCAACAGGTACACGGGAAGGTGTTCAACGCCACCGATCGTCAGGGATATGAAAATCAAAACCACAGTAAGATAATCACCTCGAGCCTATTAGAACGGTTATTATCAAAAGCAAAAGACGACAAACGTTGGTAAGGATGTGGAGAGAAAGGAACCCGCGTACCTTGTTGGTGGGAATGTAAAATGGCGGAGCCACATGGAAAGCAGTATGACGTTTTCTAAAAAAATTAAACACGGAACTACCACAAGATCCCGCAGTCCCTACTTCTGGGTGTGTCTCCGAAAGAATCGAAATCAGGATCTCAGAGAGACAGTTGCACTCCCGTATTCATCGCAGCGCGACCCACAATAGCCAAGATGTGGAAACAGCTCAAGTGTCCATCAACAGAAGAATGGGTAGAAAGGTAGCCCAGCCGTGCAATGAACTGCCTGAAAAAGGACAGAAATTCTGGCACATGCTATAACGGGGATGAGCCTGTGGGACGTGATGCTTATATGAGGTACCTAAAGTAGTCAAACTCACAAAAACAGAGGGTAGAAAGGTAGTGGCCAGGGGCCGGGGAGAGAAGGAAGTGGGGAGTTGCCATTCAACAGGTGTAAGGTTTCATTTTTGCAAGATGAACTCATTCTAAAGATCTGCTGTACAACATAGTGCCTATGGTTAACACTGTGTCCACACTTAAAAATGCGTTAGGGCGGGGAGTGGTGGCTCACACCTGTAGTCCCAGCTACTCAGGAGGCCGAGTGGGGAGGATCCTTTGAGCCCAGGAGTTGGAGGCTGCAGTGAGATGTGATCGCGCCACTCTACTGCACTCCAGCCTGGGCAACAGAGCAATACCCGTGTCTCTTAAAAAAAAAAAATCTATTAAGAGGGTAGATCTCAAGTTAATTATTACCAGGAGATTGAAAAGAAAATCACATTTTCATCCTCGAACACCGGCTCATTTGTGAATCCTTTTGTAAGTCAAATGGCACGCCCTGATTTACCTTTGGGGGGAAGATGCATTTTCCTACTCTGATTTGCCTAAAGCTCCCTGTGCTGACGCTCCGGGGCTATCAGATTCTTGATGGCTCTTCCACGAACACCCTGAATTTCTCTGTGTCCCCAGCACCCCGGACGTGCGGCTGAGGCCTCCCGCTCGGGAGGTCCAGCTTGGTCTGGCTAGAGTCACGGTCCCACCACTTTTTGCCTCTGTGACCTTGGGCAAGGGGCCTCCCCTCACAGTGCCTCAGTTGCCTAATTTGTAAGCTGGGGAGAACGCCACCCCCTAAGGTGTTGCCTCAAGGCTCAAATGAGACAGTGTAAGATGCCTGGCACCAAGCCCGACAGAGGTGGGTGTTCAACAAATGGGAACCCACTACCCGGCGTCATGCTCCCGTTATTTTTGGAGAGAGGCTTGAGGCGACCCATCAGAGAGACGGTTGGAAGGCAGAAGGGACAGGGCTCGGCAAGCCGAACTGTTCAGATCTCACTGACTTTCTGGGCATCCCTGGGCTGGCGATGTAACTTCTCTGAGCCTCAGTTTCCCCATCTGTGAAACGAAGACCATAAATAGTTAACAACTTCCCCAGAGATGGTGCCTTCCTGTGAGATGGTGCCTCAGGGCCTGGTATGCAGTAGGCGCTTAATAAATGCAGCAGGTTTAGTGCTTACCTCTGCTGGTGACTTGTCTAGGTTCCCCCGCCAGACAGGGACCCCCCGAGGACAGGAAGCCATTCTTGGTGGGAGCAGCGAAGGCTTGCATCCATCGGATCACGTCACGGAAAGTGTCACGTGGGGATGTCTCCAGAACCTCTCCGCACGTGCCCGGAGCCTTGACGCCGGCATCTGCCGGAGTTCGTAACTGGTCTCTTCTTCATCTTCTACTTCTGGCTGATGCTATGGACTTTGCACTATGATAACGTGGGACAAGCCCTTTAAAAATGTGTTTGGATTAAAAAAAAATGAGTGAGTCTAAAGAAAAATACTAAGCCAAGAAAGAGTACAGGAGGAAAAACCATACTTGAGTTCGGGGAGCTCTGGGGTGCGTGGCGAGTGCGGTCTGAGGACACGGCGCCCGTAGCGAGGTGGGGAACTTGGAGCTGTGGGACAGGAGGCGGATACTGTACAGGGGTGCTCGGAGACCCTGTAGTTATTTAACATCTCTGGGCCTCAGTTTTCTCACCTGCAAAATGGGGCAGGGAGGGCAGGAGACTGGCTCAGGCAGGGCCTGGACAGCCAGCTTTCTGGGCCAGAGCTCTACCTGTGGGTGGTGGGCAGAGGTCACCGAGAAACTGGCCTTAAGTGGCAGAAGCCCAGAGAAGGCGGCCAGCACCTGGCCTGGGTGTTCCTTTCCAAGTCCGCCCAGCTGGTGCTGCATGCCCCTGGCTGCCTGGGACCAAGGCGTGGGCGCTTCCCTCCCATGCCGTCCCCTCCCTTCCCCGGAGTCACCTCTCTGCCTTTAGGGGCTGGGGGTGGGAGTGGTGAGGCAACCCGTGTTGTATCGCAACACCCCACTCTGAGATGTACTGTTAAGGGCATTGTGTCATCGCCATGGGGACATGGCGACCCAGTGACCTAGGGGTCATGCCCTAAGCCCCTGGCCCTCTCCTCAAACCAGCTGTGGGGTGGTTTTTGCTTTGGTCATAATTAATACTGAGCACCGACTGCATACCAGGCACTGTGCGAAAGCTGGGGGGTGGGCAGCTGACAGGCTGGGAGCGTCCCCACACTCCTGGAGCTCAGTCCAGCCTCGGGGAACAGAGCTCCAGGCAGGGGACAGCAAAGGCAGGGGCCTGGGGGCAGGAACGAGCAGGGGAAGCTGAGGTGGGAGAGACAGAGGCCCTGCAGACCTGCAGGTGGTGGAGGAATGTGATTTTTTTTTTTTTGAGACAAGAGTCTCACTTTGTTCCCAGGCTAGAGTGAGTGCCGTGGCGTCAGCTAGCTCACAGCAGACCCCTCACACTCCTAGGCTCAAGGAATCTCCTGCCTAGCCCTCCCAAGGAGCGGACTACAGGCATGTGCCACCTGCATGGTTAATTTTTTATATATATATTTTAGTTGGCCAATTAATTTCTTTCCATTTATAGTAGAGACGGGGTCTCGCTCTTGCTCAGGCTGGTTTCGAACTCCTGAACTTGAGCAATCCGCCCGCCTCAGCCTCCCAGAGAGCTAGGACTACAGGCGTGAGCCACCGCGCCCAGCTGGAATGTGATTTTTAAGTTAAATTTTTATTTGTATATATTCATGGGGTCCAGGTACAATTTTGCTACATTGATATACTGCTTTTTTTTCCCCCTAAGAGTAGGATCTCACTATGTTGCCCAGGCTGGAGTGCAGCAGACACTCATAGGCACAATCATAGCTCACTGCAGCCTCGAACTCCTGGGTTTAAGCGATCCTCCCTCCTCAGCCTCCTGAGTAGCTGGGACTACAGGCGTGGGCCCTTGTGTCCCCCCAGGGGTGTGATTTTTTTTTTTAAAGGATGGCTCTGGTGGCCAGGTGAGGGTGGCTTCAGGAAGCTGAGTGGGGCAGGGAGAGCTGCTGGGAGGCTGGCTAGACAAGGGAGGCTGGGTGGGCAAGCGAGGCTGCCCCTCCAGTCCTGCAGCCAGGGCTCAGTCCCAGCTCCAGGACTGGGACTGGGGACAGGGGAGCCTCCCTCCCTCTCCATCCTCAGGGGACACTGGCACCAGGGAGATGTCAGTCGTTCATTCTGAGCTGGGGCCACTACCCCCAGCCAGGCCGGAGGATTACGTCCCCTCCTCCCTGCCACCTCCTCCCCAGACCGTCCGTCCCCTCACATGGCTGCGTCGGGACACCAGTAGCCATGGGCTCGGGAGGGAAACCTCTGTCCCGCCACAGCCTGGGTGGGCAGAGGACTGGGGCATCCTCACCCCTCTAAGCCCCGGCAGGTGCGTGGGGACTCCCAGGGCAAGGTCCCTTCTGGAGGGCCTCAGCTGATCCTGCTCACTACCCCAGGCCCCCAGGGAGGGCGGCTGACCCCACCAGGGCGGTGCCAGGGGGTCAGCACCCGGCTGTGACCAGGGAGAAGACCCTTGTCTGGGAGCCAGACCAGCAGGCCTGGCTGTCCCACAGGACTTGGCTGACCCTTTGCCCAAAGCCCTCCCTCCCTCCCCCGGCTCTCTCTTGCCACCTCGCTCCCTCGGTGACCCTTGAGACTGTTGGCAAACAGCTCCCCGAGGCAGACAGCCCCTGCGTGTGATCTCCGCGTCTCGTCTGTGCAGCTGCTGGCGCCGCTGCCTACACCCCTGGGCGTCGGCTTGGGATGCGGGTGGCACTTGTCTTCATTAAGGTCCCTGGCCCTGGAGCCAGCCACAGGACCAGCCTTGTGTTGGGAGGTGAGTGCCCCGTGGACCCCCAGAACCGGGTCGCCTCTGGTGCCCGCCCGCACTCCCGGGTCCTTCCTGCTTCTCCGGGTCCCTCTCGGGCTCCAGAAGTAGCGTGCTGGGCTCTCCTCTTCCTCCCGGCGGGCGGCACCGTGTTCCTTCTGTTGGCAGGAGAGGATGTCCCACCTGCTGCTGACGCCATCAGTGCCCTAGCGGGGACAGCAGAATAAATCCTGGGCCACCCAGGATCCTTTAGTCACTCAACACGCATTCACTCGGCAGAACGTTTTTATTGAAAGCAAAAACCGAAAATGTGCCCTTTGACCCAGTGACCACACCCTGGGGCCCGTCTCCTGCAGACAGGTCAGGCCAGCATGGCTGGTCCAGCGAAGGGCCGGAAACAGCCCAGATGCCCGTCGCTGGGGCAGGGGCCAACGCCTCAGGACGCGGCGCAGGCTGTCACGGACGGGGAGTGTGAGGAGGCTGCTAAAAGGCATGAGATTGATGTCCCCGCATGGAATTAGCCTCTTCCTGTAAAAAGGCAACAAGCCGCATACGTGCAGATGGATGACTGTGCAGAAAGAAAGGTCCAGAAGGAAAACTGCCCGGTGGTGACCTCCCCCAGGGAAACGTGGGGGCGCGGAGGGGACCTGGGGATTGTGAGGTTAGAGGGAAAGGAGAGCGATCTGGCTCTTCCTTTGTTCACACTCTTTGCTGTTCGGCTTATTTCAAGGAACACAATTGCTTCTATAGCTCAAAAGGAAAATCCGATACAACATATTTTTAGAAACGTGCTGAGCGAGGCCCTGCGCTCCGGCGGCGGCGGCGTTTGCCGGGCGTGTTCTCTGGCGCTGGAGCCGTGCTCGGCTCTCAGGGACCCTCTGCGAGCACCGAGGGGCGGGTGCTTTTATCACCCTGGGTTTTCGCATGAGCACCCAGGCTCAGAGAGGTCGAGTGCCTTTGGCCAAGGGGGCACAGCGCGGCTGGCAGGACTCACAACTGGTGCCTGGGGACAGAGAGGGGAAAGGCAGGGTGTTCCGTCCCATGGTCAGTTACCACTTACTTCGGGGAGGGCAGCGCGAGGGGTTGGCGATGAAGGAGAACGACCCCAGCTGTCGAGGAGGTGAGCCGGAGCACCCACCCACGTTCGTGACACACCACCCACCCACGTTCGCGACACACCAAGGCTCCGCCACCCGCGGAGGGAGGGGGACGGCCAGCTGTCCACGTTCCCAGCCTTCCCACTCAGCTCCGCGTCTCTTGGCACAAATCGATGTTTACGGGGCCGGGAGGAGGCACAGAGCGCGGTTCCCTTCCTTCCTCACCCCTCCTCCAGGCGTGGACCGGGTCAGATGCCGTGCGGGTCTGGCTTCCCGCAGTCGCCACCTCTGCCCAGCCACGGGGCCCCGGGGCCCGGGCTCTGGCCAGGGAGGGGCCACGCCCACAGGTGGGCTCAGCCCTGGTGACGGCGGCTGGGCTCTCTCTGCAGAGCCCTGACAGATGGCATGGGACATTTTCCGCGCTCAGTGGCCTGCGGTGACACGTGGGAACCGTGCCAACGTGCTCACCTCCAAGCCCTGGCGAGCGCTGGACATGGCTGGAAATACCCAGCTGTGCCTAGAAACCGTACGGGGAGATAAGGCTTTGTCACCACTACGGTAACTCGCTCAACGGATGCTTTGCGAGTGCCTGCCGGGCCTCAGGCGTGTCGCGGACGCTGCCTGTGGCATACGGCGTGAGCAAGAGCAGAGTTCCTGCCGTGCGGGGCTCACGTGCCAGGATCGGGGGAGGCAAAACCACCCCGAGAACGGATGAATGAGGACGCTGGCATTCGAGTGGAGACATGCATGATGAGAAGGACTGCGAGGCTCTGGGAGAAATGGCATTGCAGCCAGAAGGAATAGCATGTGCAAAGGCCCAGGGGCAGGGAAGAGCTTGATGCCTTTGTGGGATGGACGGGGTACCGATGTGGGAGCAGCGTGGGAATGTCTGGCCATATTTGATCTACCACAGGAGGCTGTGATGCCTGGGGCCAGCAACTTAACCTCTCTGTGCCTGACCCTTTTCCTCTGTGAACTAAGTCTCTTGGCATCTATGTCATAGAATTGTCTGTGAGGATCAAACAGATGATGCCTCCAAAGTGGTCCGTGTACTGCTCTTTCCTTGGGAAGTGCCCAGCGAACAGGAACCACTGTTATTGCTGCCGTTATTAATACTATTATGGTCATTATGGTGGGAATGTAGCAAATATTGGATGGATGGATGGATGGATGGATGGATGGATGGATGGATGGATGGATGGAGGGTGGTGGGTGGTGGATGGGTAGGTGGTGGATGGAGGATGAGGGTGGGTGGATGAGTAGGTGGTGGAGGAGGATGGATGGAGCGTGGTGGTGAGGATGGAGATGATAGGATGGATGGGTGGGTGGATGGGTGGTAGGTGGTGATGAGGAGGTGGTGATGGTGGGAGGGTGATGAGGGATGGGTGGTTGGGTGGATGGTGGTGATGGATGATGGGTGGTGGGTGTGATGGGTGGCGAGGAGGGAATGGACAAATGGCTTTTGATGTTCAAACAACATGGAGTCCCGCTGTCTTATCTGCTAATGATAAGTCATCTTACTTCATGGGGTTCACAATAAGCAGCAGCTCTTTGCTGTTGAGTTCAGACACCCTGATTTCTAAAGAGACCTGACCTCTCGCTCAGTTTGCTTTTTCATCGTCTATGTTTATGTGGGAAGATGGGAAGGGAGCGTGAGGGTGAGGCGATTCTGCGGCAGGCTTTGTGTGTAAGAAGTCATATTCGAGCTTTTGTGTGCACGTGTGCTCACGCACACACACACACACACACACACACACACACCCCTCCAGACGTAACCAAACTCTAGCAGTTGTGACAAGCAGCCAAGGTTGCCGCCGGAGAGTTAAGCAGCCAGAAGAGCTTGCGGACACACGCCCCCCTGGGGCGGGCAGCTGTGAGGGCTGCCCCCGTCACCTGCCCAGGGCAGGACCCACCTCCACTCCTGCAGCCAGCGCCTGCGCCCACGTGCACAGGGCTGCTCGAGCGCCACGGTCGAGCGAGGCAGGGGGGGATCTTCCTGGAAAAGATGGCCTTGGAGAGCATTTGGGCCCCGGGTTGGGCCTCTGGGTTGAGCTGTGAGGGGTGCAGACCATTGCCACCTGCTAGTGTCATGCTGTCCCGCGCTAGCCCGACACTGGGTGTGGGAGAGGCAGGGGCAGGAAGGAGATGGGGAGGGCGTGGGGAGGTGTCTGAGTTTCCCGGGGCTGCCGCCATAAACCACCGCAAACCTCGTGGCGTGAAACAGCAGGGCTTCAGCGCCTCCAGAGCTCTGCAGTCCAGGTGGCAGCAGGGCCCTGTCCCCTCTGAAGGCTCTGGGGAAAAGGCCCTCCTCGCCTCTTCCTGGCTCCCGGCTTGTCTTGCTGGCGGTGCTGGGCGTTCCCTGGCTTGCGGCTGTGTCACTCCAGTCTCCACCGCCCTCCTCCCATGGCTTCTCTGTGTGTCCTCTCCTCTTCTTAAAAGGACACCGGTCGTTGGAATCCTGTATGATCTCATCTTAACTTGATGCCATCTGCAAAGACCCTATTTCCAATAAAGGCCACGTTCACAGGTTCTGGGTGGACCTGAATTTTATGGGGACTCCATCCAACCCAGCGAGGGAGGGGCGCAGAGGCAGGAGGTGGGCGGGAGCGAGCCCAGGCTGCAGGTGCCAGGGACCCTGCAGCGCAGGCCAGTGCTGCCCTAGGCTCGGGCAAGGACGGCCCCGAGATTCACTGGAGGGTCCGCACCGGCCCTTCCCCACGGGGCAAGGAGCCATGGAGCCAAACGGATGTGCCCACCTGGTGCCCACGTGATCCCCACTCCACACGTCCTGGGGACCCCTTGGAATCCCCTGCCCAGTGGCAGCACAGCCCTCACACCAAAGCCGCCCCGGGCGCCTTCCTGGATCTGCCCTGCTCAAGGCGGCCGGCTCACCTGCAGGGGCGCCCCTCACCCTAAGGGGCAGCTGTCTGGGGGGCTTAGGATGGTACCCGGACTTTCGGGCTGGGGTGCCCGTCCATGTGCACGAGGCGGCTCGAGTGCAGGATGGAGAATGCTGGGAAGAGGAGAGAGGCCCGCAGAACACCGGCTGGGAGAATCCTAAGTCCAGACCTGGCCTTCGAGGTTGTAGCGAGGGTGTGTTTGTCACAGAGGGAGCCTAGACATGTTTGTTCACACCGTGTGTTATAACAGCTTGACTTACAGCTTTTCAACACATGGACACATCCACGAGCCTCTGTTTCTACCCTTGCCCCGGGCCTTGCACATGTTATGAGATGTGAGTCGAGTTGGAGGCATCTAGAAGCATCCAGACTCAGCTTTGGTCCTGTCACTGTCTGAATTCTGTTGTGTGCATGCGCTCGCCCGTGTGTGTGTGTGTGTGTTAATCAGTCTCCCTCATTAAAATATAAGCTTCATGCGAACAGGGGCCTTTTCCTTCTCGTCTGTAAAATGGGACTAATAATCGTCACTGCTTTCTAGGACTGCGGGGGAAGTGACGGAGTTCATGGTTGTGAGGCAGAGCCCAGGGCCTGGCACGCAGCAAGCTCACCGAGTGTTTGCTCTTGTCACTCTTGTGATCTCTGTGGACCCAGAACAGGGAACGGTGTCTGGTGGGCATGAGTGAATATTCCCGGGGGAAATGATGGGATGTGGTTGAGGGTGCAGAAAACTGTGTCCCACCCAGCTCTCAGGCTCAAAGACTTGTGCCTGAAAGCGGGTGAGACCAGGGGTTGCATGGTTCTCCAAGCAGCCCCAGAGGCAAGTGTGTGCTCTCACTTCCTAACGCCCGAGCTCCCCCCGCAAGGCAGTGAGGCCAGATGTGCATTTTGAGATGATTCCTCTGGATGCTGCGGGGAGCTGGACCGGGAGAAGGGCAAGAGTGGATGCAGGAGAGCCAGGAGGGGGGCGATTCTAGAAGGCCAAGGACAGAGAGAGAAGGAAGCTGCTTCCAGAGCTGCTGAGGAAGCAGACGGGCAGGACTTAGGCTGGGATGTGGGAGGAAGGAAGGGACCAGGAGGGCTCAGGGATGGTGCCTGGTTTCTAGTCAGCACCTGTAGACTGACAGATGGTAGATCCCAGATGGAAATCAGGTTTGGGGGTGGGGCAGGCTCTTAAATTCAGTTTTGGATGAGTTGAATTTGAAGAGCCACTAAGACACTCAAGAATTAGACAACCAAGTTTAGAAGCCCTGAACACCTAGGGACAGTATTACCTGGGCAAGCCTCCTTCACCCCTCTGAGCCTCAGTTTCCCCATCTGCAAAATGGAACATTTCATCAGGTGATTGTGAGGACCCTATGTGGGAATATAAGCAAATTGCCCACCACAAGGCACCATGTGGGAAAAGTATGTGTCCTTATTACGAAGCACTCTGTCAGAAGCAACAGACATACAAGACAAACTGGCTTAAGCAGAAAAAGAATTTACTGTTCTTGTAACTATAAAATCCAGGGAGTAGATCTGGTTCCCCCTCCAGCTGCATCTGGGGCTCCAGTATTGTCACGGGGCCACCATGTTTTTGAGGGCTCCATATCTTTCTCAGGCACTTTCCATGTGTGTTCTCAGTGGCCACCAGCTCAGTAAATGCTGTGATGGGCATGGGTCTTTTCCTACAGTTCCAGTAGAAAAGTCTCAAGGAAGATTCTGATTGGCCCAGCTTGGTCAGGTGCCCATCCCAGAGCCAATCACTGTGGCCAGACCTGGGTCACATGACTTCCTGTTCTTGAAAGCAGCAGTCCAGCAGCAGCTGTCCATCATTACCAATCTGCTGTCCCGTGGAAATTTCTGGATAGGAAGAAATGGGAATGCAGTCTCTGGCTCACAGTAGGAACTCAGTTCATGGTGGTGGTTTTCATTAGAATGCTAGAGGGGGAACACTGAATGTCCCTCCATCTGTGTGTTTTATAGTCCTTTATAAATGTGGGTTTCACCTCACTAATCCCAAGTTCAATGGCTTCCAGTTTTCTTCAGCCTTCTCCAGTCTTGCACCACACTTGGGCGGTAGACGTGAGAGATCTGTCCTGGGGGCCTTGAGCCACCCCTCCTGCCTCAGGATGGGGAGGCGGTCACACTGTCTGTCCCTGGCCAGCTGTGAATGGGTCCCAAGCATCTCTGTCCCTGACCGGGATCTCCCTGTGCCTCTGGGGTTAATTCCAGGGTCTCTGGTGTCCCCACCAGCCACATCGAGAGAGCAGGTTCTGCAGTGAGACAAAGACCTTTGCGGTTCACGACGTCAGGGAGAAAATTCCAAAACCTCCAGGCGAGCTGCGATGCGGACGCTCTTTTCAGCAGCCCGGCCCTGATTGGAGCCGCCCGGGAACTCCCTGCCAATTAGCAGCCGCGCTGTGCAACCTGGAACTTCACAGCTTAGCAACGAGAAATCTGGGAGAACTCTGGAACTAATTTAAGGAAAGGGGAGGAAAAACACCAAGAAGGGAATTAGCAGCCAAGTAATCAGGCTGCGTGTTGTATTATTACCTTTGCTGCCAAGACAAGTAATGAACGTTCTCAGCATTAATTACCAGCAGAGAGGGAACCAGCGAGATAGCTTGTCTCAAACTCCGGGGCTAATGTTTGTTTTTGTTTTGTTTTTCCTAAGCTACTGCTAAGGTAGGGCTGTGAACAGAGCTGAGACAGTGCGGTCAGGACAGGTACAATAATTAAAAAGCGATTAATTAAACACCGATCCCAGCAGCCACACCTTCCTCCGGAAGCCCCTTTGCTGGTCGTTCTCTGGGATCACCTTCCATCCTGTGGCATGGACACGAGCCTACCTGAAATGGGACCTGGAGTTCTGTGTGGCTTTGGCGGGTTTCTGTGATCCCAGATGGAGAACAGGTCAGAGGAGTCAGCGGTGTTGGTGGTGGTGGGGCCATTTGATGACTATTGAGTGTCATTCACATGTCACCACTGAGTCAGAGGCTGTGAAACAGAAGTGAATATCACAGACCCGCCCCTGCCCCTGCCCCCTCGGGCTGGCAGTGTAGCCAGGGGTGGGACTGACTAGATATTAATAATCAGCTAATTATACCAATAGCCATGTGATCACAATTGTGCTGATGTCATGGAAGAAAGAGTGGGATGCTAGGGACAGGGTTATGGATGAGGGGAGGGTTAGTTAGAAGGTATTGGGTTATCCTGGCCCTGCTTGGAATTGCATAGGGGTGCAGCAGGGTGGGTTCCAGAGGGAGGCTGGACCAGGTGGACAGGGGCAAGCCCACCAAAGGCATCCTGGGCTTGCAAAATTTAGCATTTATCCTAAAGCGATGGGGAAAATGAGAAACCATTTAGGTTTGCAAACTGGACATGGAGCAATTAGGTTTATGATTTAGAAAGAGAGCTCTGGCTGTTGGGAACAGAGCAGACGGGAGGGGTGCAAAGAAGAACGTTGGGCCACAGACCCCTTTGAAGGCCACTGAGATGACGTGGGTGGTACCTCCCAGGGGACCATAGGCATGAAGCCACAGTACTTCTATGGGGTCCTGTTGATGGTTCTCCCTAGCCAGCTCTGCCCCAAAGCCTCATTTCCTGGAAAACACCTATTTAGATGCCTCACTGTCTATGACATAGAGTGGCCAGCCCATCCCAGCTGGCCCAGGACTGCCCTGGTTTTAGCCCCTGAAGCCCCCAGTCCCAAGAAACCACTCAGTCCCGGGCAAAACTGGGAAGGTTAGCCACCCTACTCAGGAACAGGCTTACCTGGGGCATTAAGAGTCGGCTTCCCTTACCACATGGGGCTTCCGGGTACCTTCTCCCCAAGCAGCCCAAACACGGGCTCAGCGGCTAGTTTGCCGTGTGGCCTCAGTCAAGTTCCTTGACCTCTCTGGGCCACTGTTTCTTGATTTGCAAAACAAAGTGTGATCTGGAGAGCTTCGAGTCTCCTGGCAGCACTGATTTCCTGGCCCTGCTGTGGCATTTCAAAGATTATGAAAGACAAGGGCCATGCACCAACAGCGTGGCCTTGGGCAATGTAGCACGCCTCCCTGTGCCCAGCTTTGTCCTTCATAGGCTGGAATGACAGGCCTTACCTCGTAGGGACGTGAGAATTGAGTTGAGAGAAATTATTCTGTGTGTTTGCAATGACTAGATACTCAGCAGTTGGAAAATGTTCTGGTTAATGAAAGTACGGAGAGTTATGACATCTAAATAGTGACCACCAGTTTTTTCAAAAACTGGGCTGTGACTAGGCACCCTTAAGTCTCAAGTTCCACAATGGGCTCCTTATCACGGTACCCCTACTCCACCGAGACTGCCTCTCCCCGCTGAGCGTCTAGTTCTGTGGGGCGGAGACTGGGTCCTTTTTGCCACTGTCCTTCCATAATAAAGATGTGTTGAGTTGGTAGAGGTCACATTATGCCCATTTTATAGATGAGAAAAACCAAGGCTCAGGGAGGCTCGACGTCCTGCCATTAAGTGGTGAAGTCAGAATTTGGACCTGGGTCTGATTCAGGGTCCTGTCCTCTCTACTAATTGGCCTCTACTTCCTCAGGGGGTGCACTAGGAGGCAGCCTTGGGGTGCCCTGTGAAGATCTGGCTAGCGAGTGCTCCCAGGGGAGCAGCTATGTGGGGACAGAAGCCTTTTGATGGGACTTTCCCTTGCCTCTGGTTGCCATGGAGACGGGGCTGAGATGTTGAAGATACATCCCAAGCCCGCTCTCGGGGCTCGTCCCAGAGATGCCAGCAGTGGTGGGCAAACCAGCCCGACACCCCCGAGAGAAGGGAAGGAAAAGGCTGGTCTTTCCTTTTCTCTTTTCATTGTGAAGAGCCTCACAGTGTGCACACATCCTGTCTGTCCCTAATAGAGTGTGACTCCACGAGCCCCAGCTCCAGCAGTCACCAACTCTCAAGCCAGTCCTATTCCATCGGGGCCCCCTTCCCTCCTCCCATCCCAGGTTATTTTGAAGCAAATTCCAGATAGCAACCATTTCTTTTGCAAATATTTCAGTATATAACTCCAAAAAAATGATTATTTTTTTGCCACCATCACACCTACTAAAACTAATAGTGATGCTTTTAATATCAGCAAGTATCCAGTCAGCACTCAAAAAAAAAAAATCAGTATCCAAATAAGGTTTGTATGTGGCCATCGGGACGTCTCCTACAACCCTCTTAATTTGTAGGTTCTCTTCCCTTCTCTTTTTCTTCCTTTGCAATTTATTTGTTGAAGAAACTGGGTTGTTTATTCTATAGTTTCCTACAGTCTGGATTTTGCTTGTTGTCTCCCCATAGAGAAGTTATGTTTCTCCCTGTATTTCTTATAAATTGGTAGTTAGATCTAGAAGCCCACTTACCTTCATGTTCGATTTTTTTTTTATAACTACTCCTAGTGGTGGTTTCTTGCCCTTCTTTGTGACGTTAGCAGCACTGATCATCATTGTCTAGATACATTATTTTTATTAGATTTTGAAATAAAAGGATACTAATTCTAGTATTCTGTTTTTGTTAGTGGAAATACATCTAGAAAGAGTATCAACTTATCAACTACTTGGCTATCATAAAGTATGGTCCATACCTAAAAGAATAAATGCTTGATTCTTTTCCTTTATCTGTCAGCTTTCACAATAAGTTGGTTTCCCAAAATCCTCCAAAGGTGACAGATGAATTTATATTTTTCTAAGTGTCATGGTGAGCTCGTTGATTTGGACATACATGGTATGTTTCCATCCAGTGCAGTCATTGTGCTCATCGATGCCCAAAAAACGACCCATCTTTGGCCAGTGGCAGCCTCTTCACATTGTCCCCTGCATCCTTTTGGATGTGACCCCAGAAGTCATTGACAGCTTCCTTGATATTGAGGAACAAAGAATGACAAGATGTTCCAGGCTTCTCTTGAACCTTTCATGCCTCAGACTTGGAATCAGCCATTTCTCCATGGAGCCCTGATCTCTCCTTGGCAGGGGTGTTTAGAAACCATAATCCAGGTGTTGGGGGTGCTTCCGAAAGGGTCGTTATTTCTAACCTTTTGGTGGACAGAGCCAGCAAACACGTGTGCTTTATTTTGTAAGACGAAATACAGCATGATTTCATACTGATGCTTCCAATTCAAATTTGGGGTTATGGGTTTTTCACCTGTCCCTGTGATCTAACACGTGGCGGCATCTCCTTTCTTCCATGACCGTGTGACACAGCCTGTTTCTAAAAGCAAAGCTCCTCACTGCATCTCCCATCGAGCTGGAAGCACACAAGAAAGTGCTTAAGTCTTTCCCTCAGAAAAGAACCTCTGATGAGGCTGTTTGGAAATGGCCCTGGGAGAAGCCCACTTCCGGGTCGCAGGAGATGGCATTCTCATGGCAGATGAGCCACCTCCTTCCATCGTCCTGTGTGTGCATCCTGACATCCAGCTGCTCTCCATCCTGGCTGCACATTGGAACAACATGGGGACTTACAAAAACCTCTGATGCTTGTCCCTCTCCCCCCTTGTCACAATGAAGTCAGAATCTCTGGGGCTGGGACTTTACCATCATTTCTTTTAAAGAAGTTTAGGTAGCCCGGGCACGGTGGCTCACGCCTGTAATCCTAGCTCTCTGGGAGGCCGAGGCGGGTGGATTGCTCAAAGTCAGGAGTTCGAAACCAGCCTGAGCAAGAGTGAGACCTCGTCTCTACTATAAATAGAAAGAAATTAATTGGCCAACTAATATATATAGAAAAAATTAGCCAGGCATGGTGGCGCATGCCTGTAGTCCCAGCTACTTGGGAGGCTGAGGCAGGAGGATTGCTTGAGCCCAGGAGTTTGAGGTTGCTGTGAGCTAGGCTGCCGCCATGGCACTCACTCTAGCCTGGGCAACAAAGCAAGACTCTGTCTCAAAAAAAAAAAAAGTCTAGGTAATTCTAGTGTGCAGCCAGGGGTTAGGATCACTGCCCTGGTCCTTGCTTTTCAGCAGAGGGAGGAGAAGGAAGCAATGGGATGACAGAAGAACTTTTGCCTTCAAATCCCATTAGTGTGGGTTTGAATTCCGCCACTGCCAGGTTCTAGCTGGGAGATCTCTGCACCAGCACTGACCAATATCTGCAACGTTCAAATGGTCCGTGTCAGCTCTGTCCAGTGTGGTTGCCACTAGCCACATAGGGCCTTGGGCTTGAACTCATTGCCAGTAAAACCTAGGGAGTAAATTTTAAAATTTATTTCATTTTAACTACTTTACACATAAATAGGCACAAGTGGCTAATAGCTACCGCCTAGGAGAGCACCACTCTAGAAAATTACTTAACGTTTCATGGCTTCACTTTCTATAAAATAAGGAATAATAAGGGTTATTTCAAGGGGATGTTGTCAGGATTAGAGATAATGTATCCAAAGCACCTGGTGCACACAAGGCACTCAATACAATGTTGCTTATTTTCTGTATTAACATCAGCCTGACACTTGAAAAAAAAAAAAAAAAAAGGCTTGTCTGGAAAACAAGTGCTCAGACGCACCCTACCACACAGGCTAAAAATTCCGAGCCATTCCAGAGAAACTCTCAGAAAAGATTCCTTAATTGTACAAGTTCAAATGCAGCAAGAGGTTATCAGTTACAAGGGCTGTATTTCATTACAGATCTAGCCGCAGCTCAATAAATTAAGCAATCACTCAAAATAACATGTTGCTTTAATCCCCTCTCTTGGAACAATTCCAAGCTGTTTGGTTTTATATTAGCACAGCCCAGAAAGGCGACTCACACTGGACTCTTTTCTTTCCCCTCAATTCATCAGCCCCTTTCTGGAAACATCTTTGCATCTCCAAGCCAAGCGCAAGCTTCCTTTTATCAAAACTGGAGCCTTTTCCATCCTCTAGCCTTGACACGTTCCACGTTTCATTCGCTGAAATTACTGGCGGGTTTATCTGCAACCGAGACAGAAAGGGACACCTCTTAGCAGCCCAGTTCTGGGCATGTAAAGCTAACTCGCAGTGGCTTTTCCATTCTCATCTTGTCTCTGGTGGTTTATAATCTCACAGCAGAATTTTGTTTCCCCTAGAAACTTGGCACGGGAGGTGTCAGCCTGGGAACATATTTGTTTGTGTAAATTAAAAGAAGAATATGTGTGACCATATTTAAGTTCTAACTGCACTGAAGAAGTAAATACTGACTCACACAATGCTTCTCGCTGCACCATGCCGGCTCACCTCCTCAGACTCTGCCTTTGTTTATAAAACCCAAACTAATGAGAGCTCTGAATGGCTTATCTTCTCAGAAAGCTATAGGGACAATCTGGGAGGCCATGTCCACCCCCAAGCAGTCCCACGAAGAACATCCACTTACCTCTTCTGGAATTGGCTTCCCCTGACCCTGCAGCCTTGCAGGGGTGGGAAACGGTGTTGGAAACAGGCACCCGCACACGTGCACCGGGGTGCGAATGGTAACAACCTTTTTGAAGGGCACTGGGCAATAGCTGTAGAAATTTAAAATGTACATATCCTCCGACTGAGAAATTCCACTTCTAGGAATTTATCCTACACGTGTACTTGGCCACGTGCCAAAGACTATATACCTTGTAAACGGGAAGTCCCGGAGTTAACTGAAATGTCGGCCAGTAGGGGACAGGTTAAGTATGATGTGATGCTAAATGTCACTAGAAAGAATGAGGTGGGTCTGAGAGCTGTCAGGATACATTGTAACACCCAGACTTTCTTTAAGAGGAAAAAAAAAAAAAGCACATGTCCTTGAACATGCTTACAAAATTTACAAAGATTGGGCAAAGTACCCACAGTGGTTACTTCTTAGAAAGCGAGGTTGGGCTTAGAGAAAAACTGCAAAGGGGACCCTTTATTTCCAAACTTACTCTCTTTTGTGCTATTTTTCTTACCATAAACATGGTTGTTGTGTTTTTTTTAATTTGGGATAATTACAAAACATAAAATGGTGTTTTAAAAATCACTTCCACACTCTGAGCTAGAGCAGTATTAATACCACAATAATACTCTTTTCATTGCAGGCTTGTTAGGACAATGGAGTGGGGGTGGGAGTCTCTGCTTTTCTGATTTCTTTATGCAAATAAACTGTAGCAGGCTAGATGGTAGCCCCCAGAGAGATGGAAAGTACGTCCACTTGCCAATCCCTGGAATATTACCTTATATGGCAATAGATGTGATTAAGGATCTGGATAGGAGGTGATTATTCAGATGGGCACTAAATGCAATCGGTGTATCCTTATAAGAGAGAAATAGAGGCTGACACAGAAAGAAGAGGAGGCAGAAAACAGAGTGATGTGGCCACAAGCCAAGGAATGCCACAGCCACCAGAAGCTGTAAGAGACAAGGAATGAATTTTCCCCTAGAGCACCTGGGGGAGTGCAGCCCTGCTAGATTTCCAACTTCTGGCTGCCAGAACTGTGAGATAATAAATTTCTGTTGTCTTAAGCCACCTGGTTTATGGTAATTTGTCACAGCAAGCTCAAGGGAATAAATTTATAACCTCACTTTCCTAATACCTATTAAAAGCGTGAAATGCATTGGTGCTTTAGGAAACAAGTTTGGTAGTCCTGTGTGTTTTGGCAAATGCAAAGAATTCGTGCATTCCACAGATATTTATTGAGCAGCTACTAGGTGCCACACACAGTTCTAGGTACTGAGGATAGAGCAGCAGAGAACACAACAAAAGCGCCTGCCCACCGGGAGCTGACATTTCAGTGAAGGAGACAGGCAATAAACAAAATAAACAGAACACGGAAGAGGGGCCAATGGTGGTAGAAGGTGCTAGAGAAAACAAGAAGGCAGGGAAGAGAAACAAGGAGTCAAGGAAGGGGACATTGGCGTAGAAGCCTGAAGGAGGTAAGAGCACCTGAAGGAAGACCGGTAGCCCAGCAGAGGGAACAAATATAGAACTTGACCTTATGAGTGACATGTTGATTGGACCAGAATAAATAGGAAGGAGAGCTCCCTTTTCTCCCCTCCTCCTCCTTTCCCTGCCTCCCGCCCACTCTTGCTGCCTGCCTGCTGCGTGCACTCCCACCCTGGGCGTCTCCCCTCACGGGGGACAGTCACAGATCATTACAAATATAACGTGGTGGGCATCAGAGCAGAGGCCAGGGTGGGCAGGGGGGCGTGGGTTGGGGTTAAGGTCGGGGAGACGGAAGCAAACCCAGCAGGGGAGGACGTGGGATTCGGGCACACGTGCTGAGCTCTGATTCGGCAGGAAATTACCTGGAGGGCCCGTGGAGCCTGTCTGGGATGTTTTTAATCCCTAGGACGGCAGGCACACCGGGACAATAATATGAGCTTTGAGGGTGACCTACCCCTTTTAGTTCCACACAATCCCAGAAAAGGAGAGCAGTCCCCAAGTCCTGAAATTGGGACACTTTGGGCTGCAAACAACAGACACCAAAGTTGATCTGACTGAGGTAAAATTGGAGATGTATTCACTCGGTAGCTGCGATGAGGAAGGGCAAGAAGAGGCTGAGCTGCTCCAGGATCCGGGGCCTGGACTCATATGGTCAAGTTCTGTATTTGTCCCCTCTGGGGTCTCCTCCTGCACCGTCCCCCACCCCACGTCTCATTTTTCCTCCTTTCTGCTTCCTGGCCTTAGTCTCTGGGCCACTGGTAGCACCAAGTCCAACTCCTTAGAGCCTGGATGCCAGAGAGGGAAATAAAAGCACCCCGGCCCCCAGCTCCTTAGACAACCTTGGATTTACCTTGTTTAGGTCACATGACCACATCTGAACCAACCACCGTGGCCTGGCTCAGGAGTAGGCTGCTGTGATTGGTCAGAGTGGGTCACATGGCCATGCCTAGCCCCATTATGGCAGCTGAGGGACCAGACTGTGGGCGCCATCTTTGGCCATATTCCCATGGCGTGGCGGGTCTGTTACCCGAAGTGGGGAGAGAGTGGCGGCAGGAAAAAAAATAGAGCCACCTACGTCCTCCAGGGCCTTCCATGCTGCTGCTCCATTTCACTCTGCTGAGAATTCTCATTCATGATCCAGATTCTGCTTTAAGATCCTACTCTGGCTGTCTACAAACCCCAAAGCTGCCAGCAGGACTTTCTCAGACCTGTTGCTATTGTTCTTTTTTGTCATTGTCATTATACTATTTTAATCAAATTTACAATGTGGTTTTTTTTTTTATTTTTGGTTTACAATTGCCTCTCCCGGCCCTAAGGGTAGGAACCCTGTCTTGTTGATTACCATATAGCTCATGCCCCATCCACAGCACCTACTTAATAGCAGGTACACAAGTAGTGAACAAATGAATGAACATCCCACGAAGAAGGGAGGAGCTGCAAGGTCCTTATCTGTTTTCTCCTCAGTGAGGCCCTCTCTTCCTCCTTCCCGAACCTTTCCCAGTCGTACTGTATACTCCTTCACGACAAGGCTCTGGTAGTATGAGTGCACCTTGGTCCTGTTAGTATAAGTTGGGTGCCATCCCAACACACACTGAAGGCTCTGAATCTCTGGGTGTCTTGAGTAAATAAGATGATCAATTCTTGGGTTGAGAGTCTGGGTAAGCACAGGAAATAGGGTTCACTGGGTGAGTGGAGACTGTCCTTTACAAGGATAATGGAGCTCTGTCTAAACTGGGAGGGATTCTGC